GTTGGAATCATACAGGTATTGTACCCCGAGAGACGTTGATGGAGCACCTCCAGTCTCTTCACATTAGCTCCGGTCATTCGCTGGAGCGATTGCTTACAGTTAATTCAGTTTGATGTAAATGACTGGTTAACCTCCAATAAAACCTTCAATTTCAATATGTTGTGTCACCTTTATGTCATCAGCTTCCTGCAATAATTTATGTCATTTCATGGGAGCAAACCTTGGAGGACAACTGTATAAGGAGGATGTTCATGTATATCAAGGTGGACTGAATTTGGAGCTGGTTCGTACATACTAGGTAGTACACACTGCGCAGTTAGTTTGCGGATGGGGACGATGGCTAGTGTCCCAGGTGCTGTTAGGGTCACTCTAAGCTTAGTACTTCGATAACGTTATGTTATTACTAGTAGTAGAGTTGCAACTGGCGATGCTGTTAGCAATTACTACGTAGTAAATGAAGTTATTACTTCGAAGTACTTCAATTTCATAGAATACTCCAAGTACTTATATTAAATCAAGTCCGGGAGGGTTTCGTAAGAGCATCTCCACTCGTCAGACTTAAAGGTCTGATTTATACGGATAACCCTTAGATAGGACCAGATTTGGACTTATATGTACTCCCACCGGTTGGTTTTATTGGGGTCACAATAAGTCCAAACATAAGTTCAGCCCCGAAAATCCCTATCATAGGACTTTTTCGTCAAGTTTGATGTAAATATCACCCACCTGTCTTATTCTATCCGGAAGAGTAATATAATCAAAAATAATATACAAAAGTACTACTCAACATAGTCAAATACAATACAGCATGCAACTTTTATAAAAATTCCCATTTACACGCTGTCAGTTCACACTGATGACCAACGAAGGTTGACGTTGCGATGGGCCGTGGAGGTGACCAGTCTGCAGGCGGACAGGGTGGTCGCGATGATGGAGGTCACGAAGGTGAGTATTGCCGACGTGGTGGTGGCTAGGGACATGAACCGGACCATCGTGGTTCGCTTTGCGGCAGCTCGGGAGCTTCGGGTGGAAGCCCTGCAGGCAACAAGGGCCGATGATTGTTGGCTCGGGGTAAATGCGCGCCGGCCTTGATAACATTGCCCGTGAGCCCGGTCAACAACCTCGCGAGTCGGTCCGCTGGTTTCCGACGTAACCCCTTGTCTTGAGATCAAGTCGTCCTCCTCTTCCGTCCCCCTTTGTTCATCAACAGGCTCAGGTGGTCGCGCACCTTTCGTGGTACTGCTGCCGGACCAACCGGGCGGCAACAGCGAGATGGACGACCAGTTGCTCGCGCCAGACGACTGCACCGCGACCACCGTCGTCTAGCGTTTTCCACGCGCTGTTGCAGGTATATGCGCTGCTGCAGGTGTATGGCTTCTACGATGTGTGCGGCGATGATAGGAATTGACGCATTTACAGGTACTTCCAGCAAGTTGCCATGGGCGACCTTGTTTTCTCTATGTTTGCCAGTGGCATCGCGACAATGCTCCACGGAGCAGCATGTAATGCGAAAGCAAGCGACTTTCTCGTCATCGAAGGCTCGTATTACTCCCTTGAGCTATACTTTCGAAGTAAATGTTAACGATTCGGTCTATGATGGAATGCGACGGGTCGCGGTTGATGTAAATTCACTCATTATCACTGTCACAGCCCCTCGTCGTCCCGCGCATTTAAGTCTGACGGGTGGGGAAAATGAAACATATCGCTGGAATCACCATAAGACTCTCATTTATCCGTACATTATCCGTATAAGGCCAGGTCATAAGTCCCAACCGGTGGAGATGCTCTAACTACCCAATAATCAGACAGTAGCTACAAAGGCGAATCTTGATGAAATAGCTGAAGCACGTACAGTGTAGCTACTACCTCTGTCCAGGAATAAGTGTTCGTTTTTTGAAAACTTGAGTTTTTTTGTCCAAAAAATGTGAATTTGGAGAGAGTAAGGATACCCGAGGAAAGAGGAAAGTGTGGGCTATCCGATTCAGATATTATCGGTTGCTTTATAACTACCACACAAAGAAAATTGGATTGAACCTGAAACATACACCAGATACGTATAATCAATCATGCTTAGATTATTAAGTTTTGAGTAGCGACCCCAAATTTCCGGATGAAACCCCTTGTTATCCGGCTTGGTTTCCCGCCAAATGCTGGGCGGGGTTTGGCATTCAAACCCAGCTCACTTCGTTCAGTCCAGTCATTCCAAAAGATGCGCAAGGGTTAGCACAAGAAGAACCTCACGGACAGTGAGTGCACCAACATGGTCCAGCACCTGTTGACCAAATGTACCCCTAGCGGCAAGCTTCGCATGCGTGCAGCTGACACGGTGGCAGAGATGTTCGGCTGCACCCCAACGACTGTCCGACGGGTCTGGAAGCATGCCTCGGTCGACTTGTCGGGCAACACGACGATCTGCCATTCCGTCTGGCAGCGGAAGAAGGGCAAGAGCGGACGCAAGCAGCTCTACACTGACCTTCCGCAGCGCATCCAAACCATCCCCCAGTCCCGATGATACTGCTTTCGCTTGGCGGCCCATGTGTTGGACATGCTGACGTCAACCCTCCACACGTACTACAAGCGCGACGTCATTGCCAAGTACTCAAGTGTAGTGAAGCCATCGCTGACCGACGCCAACACAGTGTGCCGACTCAACTGGGCCCTCGATCATGTTCGCGACATCGACGGCGAGAAGTTCATCAACGCCATGTACGACACGGTCAATGTGGACGAGAAGTGGTTCTTCATTACAAGACTGCAAAGGAAGGTCATTGGTGCCCCTGGCGAGAAGATCAAGCAGCGAACATGTAGGTCCAAGCGACATCTGCTGAAGGTCATGTTCCCGTCTGCCGTGGCTCGAACGCGCTGGGATGATAGCAAGCAAGAATGGTTCGATGGGAAGATCGGTACGTGGCACTTCACCGAGACTGTCCTTGCTCAGCGTCGCAGTTGTCGGCGTGATGCCGGAACTCCTGTCATGAAGACTGTGAATGTGACCGGGCCGACGTACAAGGCAATGCTGATCGGCAATGTGATTCCAGCGATTCGTTCGAAGTGGCGAAGCGGAGAGTCAGGGGCCATCAAGATTCAGCAAGACAACGCTCGACCCCATATACCTCCAAGCGATGTGGACATCGTTGCTGCGTGTAAGGCGAAGGGGTGGGACATGCAAGTCGCCTTCCAACCACCCAACTCACCCGACCTGAATGTTCTCGACCTTGGTTTCTTTCGGGCCATTCAAACACTGCAAGTTGAGAAGCATTCGAGCAGTTTCGAGGATATTTTTGCGGCAACCGAGGAGGCGTGGACTCGTGTCAGTCCGCTCACTCTGAACAAGAACTTTCTCACCCTGCAGAGGTGCCTGGAAAAGGTCATGCTCCGCAATGGTGGGAATGACTATAAGATCCCACATATGAAAAAAGATGCATTGTAGTCTCGGGGTAGGTTGCCAGAAATGGTTTCCTGCTAAAGAGATTCTTGGAGTTCTGGTTGTGCATATTTGAGTAGCGTCGACTATTCTGCCCACATGCAAAAACTGCAATGCGAAGTACGAGAGAGCTTAGAGTTAGGTGCAATTTGCACTGAAATCGAGGCATTGAATATTGGTCACGAGACGGATGTTGATGACGACATTATCGCTGCTCTGGGCCTAGTTCGATTGTTGGATAAGTGAACATAAGATCGTAATACAAAAAACGAACATTCTTTCTTGGAAATTGGACTTTGCAAAAACGAACACTTATTCCTGCACAGAGGTAGTACAATAGTAGTACGTCAATTTAACAGTAAATTAATACAATCGTGTACTTACCGAACGGAGGAATGTCGCATTTGTACTTACCCAACGGTTTAACTCACCCCAGGCTGTTATATTGGGCCTTTCTGCAAGGGCTGTGCCAAGAGGGACGATGTAGGGGGTAGCACTGAGGAAGAACGACGACGAAGAACACTTGTGTGGTCGAGGACAAAACCAAAAGTGATCATTAATGGACTGATTAGCTGACCTATGATTGGGCATAAAACAGTCCGGCTTCTACAGAAAAAGAACACGGGATAATTCCGGATGACCGGATATTATCCGTAAGTGACCGAACTTCGGCGAAAAAGGCCCAAGCAAGAACGGCCAAAGTGCCCCTTCTTGACAGCCACCCCACTGGGCAACGGACTGCTGAAGGCCTTCGAAACAAAGTTCTCAAAGCGAGGCAATGCAACCAAAGGCAAAAAGGGCTTAGCGAAAAATTCGCGGAGGCCAAAAAGTGCCAAAGGCATGTCACTACAAAAGCCACCCTGAGAACAGAGGCGAAGAAGATAGGACAGGAACACATATAACATAGTGTTGAGCACATAAGTGCATGGTTACTCATAGAGTACGGCAAAAGCCTAAGATAATTCAACAATGCAAGAGTGCTCAAAGAGCATGGTAAATACCATAAAGTGCATATCAACGAAGAATAAGAAAGTGTGGCTAAAAGTAGCGCGTAAAAACCCTAGTAAAATTGCCATCAGGAAAAATACAAGTAATACTCAGAGAGTAGGGGTAAAATCCCATGAATTGCAAGTACCATGGACGCGGGCGTGGGAGCACCATGTAGAAACTTGGACAAACCATGGCGCCACTCGTACGGCCGATCCTTGAGCAGCGCCGCGGGCCAGACGGGACCGCCGAATTCAAAACGGCACGAGCAGACATAGAGTACACAAGTCGCCACATGGTCGAGGGCGAGAATGAAGATGGTGAATGAAGATGGTGAATGAAAATTGTGTGCTTAGAAAGCAGGTGCAAATAATGCATGATAAATATCAATAATAACCACAAAGGTTTAAAAAAAATATAAACATAATGCCATAGGCAAGGTTCACTGGGGTACACGGTCACAAAGGTAGTCACCAAGGGCATAGAGTCGCAGAGCGAGGCAGAACCTGCGAAACGCAGGTTCCGGGTGCGCCTTCGTAAAGAAGTCCGCAAGTTGATCTTTGGTAGGACAATAATGGAGAATAAACTCCTTGTTCTCAACGAGATCTCGAACAAACATAAAACGCAGATCAATGTGCTTGGAGCGCTCATGATGCTCAGCATTTTGGGCGATGCTGATAGCAGACTGACTGTCCTGATGAACCGAAATCGGTTGATCACTAGTGTGATATAGATCGGCATCGAGTTGGCGAATGTATAAACATTCTTGAATGCAAAGGGCAAGAGCCACAAACTCGTCCTCGGTTGTTCACAATTCCTTGTTTCTTTGAAAGCCATAAAATAAGGCTGTTGAAAAATAGGATAAAAAATCCACTGACACAGCGTCGAGTATCGGGGCACATAGCATAGTTAGCATCCACATAAGCGGACAGAAACGGCTTGGAGACATAGTCTCGGCCGCCTAACATAAGTCCAAGATTGGAAGTGCCTTGGAGGTAGCGTAGAACGCGTTTGGCAGCACGCCAATGGGCAAGACCCGGATTGTGCAGAAACTGCGAGAGTTGTTGGCATAGGCCAAGTCTGAGAGCCCATCGCTAAGTACATAATAATTCCAACAATTGACCGATACGGTTTTGTTTGCATAAAAGCAATGTCTTCAAGTGAACTAGCACACTGAGCCTTGGATAGCGGCGTGGTACACTCAAAAGGAGTGGCGACGGGCTTGGACGTTGACATGTCAAAGCGATCAAGTACTGTAGAACCGTAACGTGATTGATGGATAAACAGATACGGTCACGGATGATTTCCCAGCCGAGAATGTCTCGTACAGGACCTAAGTCCTTCATCTGGAAGCGTAGTGATAGTGACTCCTTGAGAGCAGCAGCAATAGCCTTGGTAGGAGTAATGATCAAAAGATCGTCGACATAGAGACTAACGATGGTAAAACCATCATCTCGGGTTTTGAGAATGACGCAGCGATCTCTGTGGAGGCGGGCAAAGCCCAAGGAAGCCATATAAGTGACAAAAGTCAAGTACCATAGGTGAGGAGCTTGTTTGAGTCCATAAAGACTCTTTTGAAGCAGGCAGACATAGTCGCACCTAGAGGCAGGATCAATGAGTGAGCCAGGAGGCTGCTCCATGCGTATAACGCAGTCGATTTTGCCATTTAGAGTGCTCGACAGCTTCGAGGGTGCTTCTCAGAATTGTATCGATTATGAAGAGGTTTTCTGCGACCCAGCAATATAGTTGTCATAGTTTAGACCAATGAAAACGTATTATACTGAATAATATCCAATAAATTGGTCATAATATGTGTATACCCATTAGTCACAGGAGGGCCGATAATTAGATGTATAAATGTATAAGTTTATAGGATGAAAATTCACTAGTTTTGAAACTTTGAAGCATCGTTTTGGCAAGACTATAAACATTCGGGATTCGTTCAAAATAGCAAGTTGTAGAGTGGACCGACAGCTACATATGATATATTAAACTTTTCTGGCTAACATTTTTGTAACAAAAGTTATGCTCAAAGGGACCCTCGAAGCTGTCGCGAACTGTTAGAAAGGCGGTTTTGACGTCCATTTGTTCGCATTCCAAATCATGGATGGCCACTAAGGCAAATAGGAAGCGTAGGACTTCAAGTCGAACTACAGGAGCAAAAATGTCCGTGTAGTCGATGTCTTTTTGTTGCATGAACCCTTTGACGACAAGTCGGGCTTTGTAAGTGTCATCGGCTTTGAGTCGAAAGACCCATCGACACGGTTGAACCGGTTCGTCATGACGACGTTTGACGAGCACATAAGTGCCGTTAGAGAGTATAGACTCGTATTCAGACATGGCGGCTATAAGCCATTTGTCGCGGTCGGGACGGGACATGGCATCACGCCAGTCTTTTGGGTCCTTGTTGTTGGCACGGTCGGCAAGCAAAGCATAGATGAACAATGGTTCCATAGGAACCAATGTAGGAGCAGAGCTCGAAGGTGGTAAGGGCGGCGCAAGCACGAGTGCATGGTGCATATGGTTGTAGTAGGTGTCAAGTGACTCCAAAGGTGTTGTGTCCATGAGGAGGCAACTTGAATAATGACTAATAAAGTGAAGTGTTGTTTTGACCAAAGATGGCTTAGCCGACAAGGCTGTTGATCCGAGAAGGCAGAATGGTTACGACCATAGGATCGTCGTAAGGGAGTAGTAGTTGGGTCAAAGACCGGACTGGTCAACGAAAATGCCGAAAATACATAGGAAATTCGTTGTGGTAGTTGTACAGAAAGTGCTGGGATGGGTCGAGACGACGGGGGTTCAGTAGAAACAACGGGTGGTGACGAAGCCAAAGGCTTGTCATAGAGGAAGACACTGGGCCTGTTGGTAATGATGGAGTTTAGTGGCGGCAATGGTGCGTTGGGTTCCAAGGTTGGAATACAGTTGGGGTCGGTGGTAGACTTTTGGCGATAAGGCGCAGCAGCAGCAACAGAGTTGATGGCTGGGAAATCGGACTCCCAGAAGGTGATGTCACGAGAGTAGATAAGTAGGTGAGAGTGCAAATGCATGAGGGTATAACCCTTGCGATCATGTGGAAGACTCACAAACATGTCCTTGACGGCATGGGGATCGAGTTTGGATGATTGCGCGGCACGTTGAATGTGCACAAACGCGGTGCAACCAAAGGTATTGATGTGACCCAAAGATAGGTGTCGTTTAAAAATGAAACACCTTTGTTGGATGCCGAAGGATAAATGTTGATAAGCCATGAGGCATAGTCAAGGGCAAGAGCCCATAGAAACTTGGGCAGAGCCCCTTCAATGAGCATAGCTCGCATCTTTTGGACAACAATGCCGATATGGCGTTCGGCAACAGCGTTTTGTTCGGGGGAGTAGGCGTTGGAGAATGCCACCCGAGTGTTTTACTTGGGCTTGACAATGCGCCCGAGTATCTCGTACTCTTTCGCATTGTCGCTTTGAAGGGTGCCGATGTCCATGGGTGATGAGTGGCGCAGCTCACAAACATCATGTTTGAAAATGGACATTGCGTCCGTACGAAATAATTCGTAGGTCTCATAGAGATCATTGCGAAAACGCATGGGGTATCTATAAAACCGACAAAGTTGGCAGCGCCACCCGCCGACAAAAGTGGACTTGGGCCCCAAACATCAGAATGTACGAGGGCTAGGTAGGATGTCGCGCGGATAACCGCAGATGAGTCAAAAGAACTACGCTTGGACTTGGCATAAGCACAAGTCTCACATAATTGACCACGAATGTGCTTGGACTTGAAGAGCATAAGCTCGGGGTTTGTCTTTGTCATTTGGTTGAAGGGATCAACACCTGGATGGCCGAGACGGCAGTGCCATAGGCGTGCAAGGCTAGCTGCAGAGAGCTTGGAGTCAGCCACAAGACTAATAAGGCAGTCGGTTGGAACAGTAGTGGTGTCATAGACAGGTGTAGGAGTGTGTGAACCAAGCATAGCCTGGGCTACACTCATGGAGACAGAGTCTGGAGTGATTGGGCAGTACGGTTTGGACT